AGCATCTTAGCTGTGGAGGGCAGTGTCACTGGCCCTCATATGTGGGATCCGAACCGGGGCCCTCTGGCGTCCTAAGCCAGTTCTTAACCATTGCGCCACTTGGCCGGTCCAAGAGGTCAGCAAACTTTTGAGACAGAACATACCCAACGAGCCAGTTTGCCGACCCCTGATACAAACCATAGAATTTTTCAGAAAAGGGAGTTGTGCATGGGAGTTAGCAGTAAGTTAAAGAGATGAGGCTTGATCAGGTCTAGAAGAATGTGTAGAATTTAGATGGGATGATAGAGTGGGGAAGGCATTCTTTCTCCATAGAGGGGGAAGGAGCTTTGTGAGAAAAGGATGGAAAAGGAGCTTCATGAAAAAATTTCAGAGGCAGGAGTTGACATTCTTTTTGGGGAACTGAAAGAAGCCTGGATCTAGACGAACAAGGTATGGGACCATGTTGTAGAAGGCTTTGAAGTTAGGTTGAGGCATTTAGATTTGACACATCTTCAGTTGACTAACGTAATCCAAAGGGGCCTTTGTCATCTATGACCTTACAGTAGCGTGCTCTACGAAAATAGCACAGTGCCCCGAAGGGAGGGCAGAGTGGCTTGTACTAAGGTCATGGCAGTGATTAGAGAGAACGGGCCAATCTGAGAAGCTTTGAAGCAGTTGGTAAGTATGGTTTTACCTGAAGGTAGAATTAGTGATCGAACTCTGAGTATGGAACTCTTGCCCCGAACAAAGTATATGTTAATGTAATAATTTGTGTTGCTGAGAAAACAAAAATGTTAAGAAGAGAACTGATTTAACTCATACTCATTCCTGAAGCATTTGAACCTTGGTTAGGAAGAATCTATTAAGACCAGTTATTTAATTTGGTAAGAGTCAGGGTTTCAATGTTTTGCTTAAGCTATGTGTTACCCCCATTTATAGAGCAACTAGTAGAAAAATTGTTTGACAGTTAAATTACTCCCTTAATTATGTTCCCAAAGCTCTATGCACATACTTCAACCCTGACCCTTATCATTCTCTACCATAATTATTATGTATTCATCATCTCCTAAATTCCTTGAATTTAGTGACCAGATATATCTGTATGTTTATTCCTGCATAACCATATTAAATACTCAGTAAATGTCTTTGGGTCTAGATAAATGACTTAATTAGAGTGTGCATGCACGTGTGTATGTTTTGGGTCATGGCATAAATCATTCTGAATGGAACAGCACTGGCTTAGAAATACTTTCATTGGGAGTTTTTTTATTGGGAGTTTATTTGGAGCGTCGGGGTTATACAAGATTTGATGGTATAGCATCCTGTTAGAATATGGGGGATCCCCTTCTTTTTTTCCCCCAAGCATATGGATTATATAATTGATAAAACTCTAGTGTCAACTCAACCTGTAATGCTTCATGGTTAGATAAGGTTCAAAATTTCTTCTCAAGAAAAATCAAAGCTCAGTAATGCACCTCAAACAAATGATAATAGTTTGGCCCTCATTATTCTGCCCCTCTGCCCCACAGGAGTCGTGTGGTATTCTGCTTGTTGTGTTCTATCCTAGTAATTCCTGAGAGGTGTGGGAAAGCACACCAAACTTTGGGATTATGTTAACCCTTTCTTCAGATGTCCTGTTGTTGGCCTGCGTGTATAGCTTTCCGTTTGACTCTGTCTTGTCCCATACCACAGTCACCTTTAAGCCCTAAGTCACCTGGATTGTTTTCTCCCTGCATCTGAGGTTCCCTAGCCACCGTTTAGATCACTGCCCCTTGACAGAACAGGACTTGCTTCAACACTTTTGTTCTTTTTTAATTGGGGAATTGGGGGGAGGGGAACAGTGTTGGAGAGTTGGGAAAGGGAAACAACTGAGTTGTTGTCTTTTAATCTTAGTTGTGGAGGGCTCAGCAAGTTCAGCTCCAAGTCCATTTGCCATCTGACTGCCCATGGGCAGCTTGCAGCAGCTCAGCTCAAGGTGCCGAGTTTAGTCTTAGTTGCCAAGTTCAGTCTTAATTGTGGGCGGGCGTTAGCCCTCCAATCAAACAAGCAACCTTGTTAGGAGCATGTGCTCTCACCAGCTGAGCCATCCTGCCACCTGTTGGCAGCTCAGTGGGAGCTCAGCTCAGGCGCAGCTCACTGGCCCATGTGGGACTTGAACCGGCGACCCTGTTGCTCAGAGCTTGCACCCTTAAGCAAGCTCTTAACCAACTGAGTCACTCGGCCGGCCTTCAGTACTTTGTTCTTTTTAATGATAATTCAGTTTCTTCTTGCCTGCCATTTAATTTTGATAACCTAATTTTAAAGAAAGAAAAACTATAATACAACCCTCTTAAGACAGAGATACTGTGTGAAAAACAACTTATTTTCTTTCTCAAGGTATTTTATTAGGCTGACTTTTAGGTTTGTAAAAAGTGACTGATTTGTTTTTAGTTAATGTGTATATGCCTTTTTTTTTTTTTTTAATGTAGAAATTTTGCCTCAGAGAATTCCACAGTTAGATGGGACTTTGCTTGATCACACAGTTTGGTTGCTGTTGTGGTCTGATGATAAATAATAGGTTTTTGAAGTGCCTTGGCAATTTGGAAACTGGTTCTGTATGTGCAGGTAATGACTTAGCTGACTTAGCTTCTTCGCTTGAAATAAAAAGAATGTCACTTGTTAAGGGTGCCAGTAATTTATTACTTTATTGTTCATTTTAACAAAGTACTGCATGTAATAGGAATCAGAACTTTAGTTCAGGGAATAGCCTTGTATCTAATTCTTTAAGTCTTGCCTTCACTGATATATTTATTGCTATTTTTTTGTTTTCGCTCCCTCCAGGCCTCAGCTGTTGAAGAATGCTCTGCAAAGAGCAGTAGAGAGAGGCCAGTTAGAACAAATAACTGGCAAAGGAGCTTCTGGAACATTCCAGGTTAGAGGCCAAAAAGGCTTTGTTGTAAAGTTGTTCTCAACAATTTTGGTTTCAGGACCTCCTTATACCCGACATATTGAGGACCCTAGTATTTAATTCATTTAAATACCTATTAATTCATTTTTAAAAACCTATTACATGTTAACATAAATACCATTTTTATGAAAAATAACCATATTTTCCAAAACAAAAAAATCTAATGAGAAAAGAGAGGCACTGTTTATTACATTTTTGCAAAAGTCTTTAATGTCTAGCTTAATAGAAAACAGCTGGTATTTGTTTCCATATACTTTTGGTTACATCTATGAAGAAAATTCACAGAAATACAGTTAGAAAAATGAAATATTTTAAGATAATTTTCAAATAGTTGTGGATATTATTCTTTGATACTATACCCAAACTCAACAAATGATAGTGTTTTAATAGCTTTATTGAGGTATGATTTATATACCATAAGATATACTCACTTGAAGTCAGTGATTTTTAGTAAATTTATAGAATTGTACAACCGTCAGCATCTAATTTCATCACCCAGAAAAGATCTCTTGTGCCCATTTGTAGCCCCTGTTCCCATCCCTAGCCAACCTACTAATCTACTTTGTCTATGTATAGATTTGCCTTTTCTATACATTTCATATCGATAGACTTAAACAATATGTGTGCCCTTTCGTGTCTGGCTTCTTTCTTTTAGTAGACAGTTGCTGAGTTATCCATGTTGCAGCATGAATCAGCACTTTCATTCCGTTTTATTGCCAAATAGTATTCCATTGTATGGATCTAACGCATTTTGTTTATCCATTCATGAGTTGATGAACATTTGGGTTACTTCTACTTTTTAGCTATTATGATTAATGTTGCCTGTAAACCAAGTCTTTGTGTGGATATACGTTTTTTATTTCACTTTGGTATATAACTAAGCATGTGGACTTGCTGGACTATACAGCAAATTTGTGTTCTAAGTGCCAAAGTGGCTGCATCATTTTACATTCCTACCAGCAATGTATAAGGGTTTCAGTTTCTCCATATCTGCTAACACTAGTTGTAGTCTCTTTTATTACAGCCATACTAGTGATTACAGTGTGGTTTTGGTTGGCATTTTCCTAATGACTACTGATGTTGACCATCGCTGCATGTGTTTAATGGACATTTGTTTATCTTCTTTAATAAAATGTCCATTCAAATTTTTTGCTTATTTTTATTTACTAGAGCTTCATCTTATGTATTTATTTAATTTCTTTTACCTATTTTTAAAATTGGGTTATTTATCTTTATTTAGAAGAGTTGTATAACTAGATAAAAGGTCCTTATCATTATCAGATATATAATTTGCAAAGATTTTCTCATTCTGTGGCCTGTGTTTTCACTTTCTTAATAGTTTCTTTGAAAGCATAAAAGTGTTTATTTTTTATGAAGTCCAGTTTGTCATTTTTTAAAATTGCTTATGCTGTTGGTGTTGTACCCAATAAATCATTGCCTAACTTAAGGTCACAAAGATTTACTCCCATGTTTTCTATTAAAAGTGTTATAGATTTTTTTTGTTTTTTTGGGAGGGTGGCCGAATGGCTCAGTTGGTTAAGAGCTCACTCAAGACTGCGAGCTCTGAGCAACAGTGGTTCGATTCCCAGCCCGAGCTGAGTTGCTGCTGACCTGCCAACAGGTGGCAGGATGGCTCAGCTGCTAAAAAAAAAAAAAAAAAAAAGGTTTTATAGTTTTTGCACTTACACATAGGTCTGTGATCCATTTTGAATTAAGTTTTGTTTATTGTGTGAGGTAAGGGTATAATTCATATTTTAAGATTATCCTTTCTTCATTGACTTGCTTTGGCACCTTTATCAAAAATCAGTTGACCATAAATGTAAGGGTTTATTTCTGCACTCTCATTTCTGTTCCAGTGATTTGTACCGGAGTCCTTACACCAGGATCACATTGCCTTGGCAACTGTAACTTTGTAGGGAAATAAGTTCTCTTTTTCTTTTTCAAAATTGTTTTAACTAATCTGGGTTCTGTGCATTTCCATATGAGTTTTAGGATCCACTTGTCAATTTTTACAAAAAAGCCATCTGGGATTTTGATAGAGACTTTAGTTGAACCTATAGATCAGTTTGAGGAGAATCACCATCTTTACCACATGGAGTTTTGCAGTCCACAAACACTGACTGTGTCTGCATTTATTTAGATTAACTTTTTTCAGTAAGGTTTGATAGTTTTCAGTGTTCAGGTCTCATATTTCTTTTGTTAATTTTTTTCCTAAGTATTTCCATGCTATTATGAATGGAATTTTCTTATTTTCATTTTTAAATTGTTCATTAGTGGCCTATAGAAATACAATTGATTTATTGATTGATCTTATATCTTGCAACCTTGCCGAGCTCATTTACTAGTATTAGTAGTTCTTTTGTGGGTTCCTTGTGAATTCCCTAGGGTTTTCCTACATACAGGGTTATGTTATCTGCAAATAAATACCATTTTACTTCTTTTCCAATCTGGGTGTCTTTTATATATTTTTTCTTTCCTGGTTGTACTGGATAGAAACTCCACTACAATGATGAGAGCAGACATCCTCACCTGTTCAGTCTTTTACCATTAAGTTAGCTGTAGGTTTTTTTCAGATTAAGAAACTTCCCATTTTTACTAGTTGGATTTTTTTATTATGAATGGCTATTGGATTTATCAATGCTTTTTCTGTACTTCTTAAGATAATCATGTCATTTTTGTTCCTTATCCTGTTAAGATGGAATATTATATTAATTGATTTTATGGTAGTTCCTTAAAAGTTAGTTGCCATGTGGAACATAAAACCATATCAGTGAACTTTTTGTACTCTGTTACCTTAAAATCATTTGATCTGTCTTGAACTTGGAGCGCATAATTTTGTAACAGTCATTTGGAAAATAAGTGATTCACTGAATTATGCAGCTTTTTAAAACGTTGACACATTGCATCAAACAATAACAAAAATCACAATATCACCTGATCTCATCAGAACAATATTTAAGTACTAGGAAGTTATCAAGCTCACAATGGTAGAGACAGATTCTCCCAATTTAAATTTTTCCTTGAAAAGTTGAATTTTATCATTGGCAACAAATACTGTTAGTTTTCCTTGAAGCGACAGGCTCACTTAATTCATTTTCAGGAAAATGTCTACCAGAAACCTAAGTGCATAACCATATATGTTAGTTGTTCTTTCAAGTAAAAAGAATATTCCATGAAAAATGCAGCTAGTTCAGCTCACAACTCAAATAATCAGGAGTATTTTTCCTTGAGACCACCGTCATACACCTCCATATGCAGCCGACATGCTTTATCCGTTCTTCCCAATTTCATCCCGTAAACACCAAAAAGACATGCACTGGGGTTGAGCTTTAATAACACGATTGGTACTACTTCATCAAGGACATTCCTAAGTGGAACTGGCTTTTTCTTTTATAAGTGCAGAGCAGTAAAGAATATAATAGCTACTAGGAGGTATTTGTTCCTCCCCCTTGATCTGTGGTCAAGTAGCAGTTTGACCCATCAGTGCAAGTGTCACGACAGTGAAGATGCAAATCACACCTTAGTATTATGAAAATAGTTTTGATCTTGCATATCTTCTGAAAGGGTCTCAGGAACCCCAAGAGGGTTTGCAGCCCAGTCTCTTTGAGAGTCACTATTGTGGACCATACCCGACTTTGTTCTTTTACCCAAAATTGTTGCTTATTGGTGCTCCCCTCTGTTCCCATCCTTTTGTCCTAGAAATATCCTATGTAATTTTCTGTTGTAGGATACCCTAAATATTTACAAAATTTTTCCTTTGCTATTTTCTTTACAGGATTAAAAAAGCTATTATTTTTATAACTACATTTTTCAGATTTAAAGAAGGAAAGTATTCTCAAATAAAAGCATCTTAAGTTATCGGGGGCCTAACAAGTTCACCTACTTATTGGGGTAGAGCTGTCACTCTCTTTGGGGTTAGGTTGTCTGTTGCTGTTTTAGGTTGAATGGAGGGGTAGATGTCAGGAGAAAATTTCCCTAGGAGGGTTGGGACTCCTCAGTTAGATTAAATACCTGATAAGTGGAAATAGAAAGTCCCTAACCTGACAATTTATTGTAAAACATATCTGTGCTAATGCAGGAACTCCGACCCACCTGGTGCAGAGGAGTCTTGTCTTGACCTGCTTTGGGAGAGTGTTGTCTTGATGCTTTTCTCTTCCTCCTTGGAAAACAGCTGAAGAAATCAGGGGAGAAACCCCTGCTTGGTGGAAGCCTGATGGAATATGCAATCTTGTCTGCCATTGCTGCCATGAATGAGCCGAAGACCTGCTCCACCACTGCTCTGAAGAAGTATGTCCTGGAGAACCACCCAGGGACCAATTCTAACTATCAAAGTAAGACACAGAGTTGTGTGCATTCAGCCAGGCATTAACTATTGACTGAAAACCAAGAGGGAACAACTATTTTACAAATGTAATGTATTTACAAAAAGAAAAACAGACATAATCAAGGCTTATTCTTTTTTTTTTTTTTTT